GCTGTCTGTTTCAAGAGAGATGTCATCATTCCTACAACAATTCTTCCTTTCACTACAATTCAGCCACCTCTGGCAGGAAGTCAGACTGCTCTTTTTTTAGCTGCATGTCTATATAACAGGACAATGAGGTATTGCAGGGCTGGATTATGGAAGAGTTCACACATGCTGCTATTCCTGTTGTGGGAGATCAGGTCCTCTTGGATGCAATTACTAGGGCTAGATTATATCCCTGTAGAGAAGACAGTATGGTATAAGGGACAGATTGTGGGTCCTGGAATTTGAAAGAAATCACACCTATGACATTTGCTAGCTAGGTGACCCTGGACAAGTCAGGTCCCCTCTCTCTGAGCCTCAGTTTCCTCATCTGTAAAATGGGGATAATAATACCCTAAAGTACTTACCCTACAGAGTTGTTGTGAGGCTCATATAAGACAAGATAGGTACTGGATCTGTGATTTCATTGAGATAAAGAATTCCTGGATGAGAAAAAGTCCTCTACCAAGGGAAATGGACCCTTCTCTGAAACTCTTAATCTCAAAGAGTTGCCTCAAGTCCTGTGAGTTACTTAGGTCAGTCCACTAGTATGTATCAGAAATGGTATGTGAACCCAAGTGTTTATGGTTCTTAAGCTAATCCTTCATCCAATATACCATACAGATTCTCATACGACATAATGTATGTAAAGTAAAATCTTTAAGGTGCTTTTTAAATGGCATTTATTATCATAGGAGAGCAGCTAGGACCCAGATGTTTTGCAGGTACAGAGATGGGCCATTATTTGCTAACGTACGGTGGGTGAAGTGATGAATGTCTTCTATGTTATGAGTAGTTTTGGCCTCTCCTTGTGTAGGCATCACGGTGTGATTAGTTTTGTTCTTTTTGGACTCAGAGGAAAGAACCTAGAAATAGTCAGTGAAAGTTGGATTGAGATAAATAAGCACTTGATACCAGTAAAAACTTTCTTACAAACAATGAGAATTATCCAAAAGCAGCATGTCTTGCCTGGCAAAGTAGCAGTTTCCCCCTCACTGGAGGTTTTGAAGTGGAAGGAGGAGGGAAACAAGTATTTATTAAGCACCATGGGTCATGGGTGTTGTGCTAAATGTCACAAATATTATCTCATTTGATTCTCACATCAACCCTGGGATGTAGGTTCAAATATTATCCTCATTTTATAAGTGAGGAAACTGAGGTGGTTAGAGGTTAAGTAACTTGCCCAGAGTCATACAGCTAATAAGTTGTTCAGTCATTTTCAGTTGTATCTGATTCTTTGTGACCCCATTTGGGGTTTTCTTGGCAAAGATACTGGAGTGGCTTGCCATTTCCTTCTCCAGCTCATTTTACAGATGAGGAAACTGAGGCAAACAGGTTTAACTGACTTGCCCAGGGTCTCAGAACTAGAAAGTATCTGAGACCAGATTTGAACTCAGGAAGATTAGTCTTCCTAACTCTAGGGGCAGGGCACTCTATCCACTGTGTCACCTCACTGTCCCAAGTATCTAAGACTAAATTTGAATTCAGATCTTCTTTTCCTGAATCCAGGCCTATAGATCTATCCACTGTGCTATATAGCTGCCTGCCACACCACTTATAGTATATATTGTAGAGAGGATTCTTGTTTCAATACAGGTTGGATTAGATGGTCTCTGAGGGTTCTTCCAGTTCTGAGACCCTTCAATTCTATGATTCCTCCACAAAGCATTTCACGATTCCAACCTACTGTAGATGAAATCCCCACCACCTCAAATTTCTTATAGTATTTTTCCTGGTTCTTTTTGTATGCTTATTGAATTTTGCCTTGCATCAAAATTATTTGTATACATACTTTATTCCTGCCCCTGGTCAATAGACTGGAAGCTTCTAAAGGGCAGGAGTCGAGTTTTATTTGATCAATGCAACCCCAGAATTCAGCATATAGTGTCTAATAAATATTTGTTGAACTGAATCAACTTATTGATGGGCAAAACTCGTCTCTGGATACCTCAGCATCATTAAAAGGTTTCAGAGAGTAATACAGGCAATGATGAGACCAGTTGGGGAACAAAGATTTCCTTCCTTTCCTTGAGCCTAGCCATACTGGAGACATGTCAGCAGGCCCAATATGTACAACTTGGAAAACATGACTGTAGTACATATCCAGGGCTGATTTTTATCTCCTGCTGATGTGTATCAAGTTGCAAAACCAACACAACACCATGTAAGTAAGCATCTTTCTATTATGACACCATTTACTGCGTCAAGAGCCAAGTAGGATTAATATGATAGGAAATAAAGTACTTTAGGCATCAGAAAGCTACTTTTAGTCTTTATTGAAAATGTTTCTGTTTTTAATAGGATAACTCAGGGAGAATTTCCAGTGGGAGGTTACATCCAGGACATTCTCTTTGGAGGAGGAACTAAAATAAATGACATCTGAAGGTGAGCATACACATAAAGGATCTCATTTCTTGGCTGGGTTCTCTGGCCTATCTAAATCTATTAATATTAAGCCACAGTTGCAAACATTTCCATTTGCACCCCTCCAAAATTAAAAAACAGTCCTCAGGTCTATTGCCCAGTGTTGTTCACAGGGGAACAGGTCGTGCAGGCACGTAGGTCCATCACATGAGCCATGCCTTCATTGGACACCATTCCGACAAACTGAAAATCAAATGGATCCTGAGTGTAGCAAAGCAGAAAAAACAGAAACAGGAAAGGAAATTTAACCAGAAGTTAATAGTTAAAACACTGAATAAAACAAATCGAAAGATCTATATGTTCTCCAGGAAACTCTTCATTCTGACTTGACACCCGTGCTTCGTGTCTACAGTAGAAGGCAGGTTACCGGATCCCACTCCCCACTCCAGCCAGATACCAACGGAATAAATATCCCATACAGATTGAATGTTTTCCTAGTAAAGATGGAAAACAAAACCAAACGCCATTTTTTGGGTTGGAGTTCTCAAAACCCTTGGGAAGGTTAACATTTGAAGGGGGGATGTCATGGTTCTAGATGACCCTAGAGTAGCATTCTGTCTGGGGAATGTCCTCATGAAGATTGAAGTACATTTGCAAACCTATAAAACATCTCTGGGTTTGGATATCCTGACTGTAATAGATCAGTATGGATCTGAACAGGGCCAGGAACTAATAATAATAGTGATGGCTAGGATGAATATGGTACCTCTTTAATCAGGCACTCACAACAACCCTGGGAGGTAGAGTTGCTATTATTGTCCCTGTTTTGCAGTTGAGGAAGCTAAAGCACGCAGAAGCTAAGTAACTTGCCCAGAGTCAGCTAGTAAGTGTTTTAAGTCCAGATTTGACCTCAGGTCTTCCTAACTCCAGGCCCAGCATTCTATCTACTGCACCACCTAGCTGCCTTTGTAGGGCCTGGCCAGATGTTCACTCTCCAGCCAGGTTACTAATCCCATTTGTAAAGGAATTCACCAGGAACTTCTGATAAATCTCCTTAGGTGACTAAAGCCAAACTCCCTTCTCTGCATCTAAAGCAATGTTTTTCCTTTTCTTTTTAAAGTGTTATTTGTGTCTTCAGTCTTTTATACCACATTCTTCTTCTCAGGTCCCACCCCTACCTCTTAACCTAAAGCAATGCTTTTCCCCCCCAAATTTAAAGTCAGTTTTCTCTCCAGCTGGGTCAGACCTGTTTCTCCCTACCACTCCTTCAGGTCACCACCCCTCCTCACAAATGCAGAGTGGAAAAGCCACTGGAATTAATCAGAGGAGGTAGGTTTGAATCCTAGCTCTTCCACTCAATAGCTGACAAGTCACTTCAATTCTCTGGGCCTCAGTTTCTCCATCTGCAAAATGAGGGGATTGGATCTGATGACCTTCAATGTCCTTTCCACCTCTGAATCTGTGATCCTATGATTCCTTCCCTCCCACTGTCCTTTCCCTGTGACTCTCATCCTCCTCTTTCCCCTCCCCCTCATCTACTATCTCAAAAATATATACAGCCCTTGCTCTCTATCACTTCCTGTCTCTTACTGCCCCTTTCCTATCACCCCAGCTATCCTCTCTGTCACTCTGTCTTGGAACTCATATACACACTCTATGCTTCCTCCTTTGGCACTGTCTATCTCTCCCCATCCTCGTTACTGCCCCTCCCTCCCTGCTCCTAAGCCCCAGTGGTTTGTGGTCTTGCCATGTGAACTGGAAATCTGTCCAACACAACTCATCATAAACAAAGAAGCAACTGTGAAATTGTAAGCTCAGGGCCTCTGGCACCAGGTCTTTACCTGGCTGTCTCTCTTGGGAGATACTGGCAAGGTCAAAGCAGAGAGCAGGAAGAGGGGGGGTATGGGAGGAAAAAGTACATGTATGTCAAAATTACAAAGATGGGCAGAGAATGATTGTGACAGGGCTCACCACCATTGCGTGAGGAAGCACCACTACCCTGACACACAGTAGACTCCCCAAAAGGGGCCTCTTCTAAGAGAGAAAATGAGACACAAGAAACTCCCTAATAAAATGTAATGTCTTTGAAGTAAGAGACTATTTTATTTTTGTGTTTGCATCTGCAGTGCCTAGCACAGTGCCTGTTACATGGTAGGTGTTTAATAAATACTTATTGAGTGACTGATTATTTGGTTGAATTGAATAAATGTAAAATAAAATGCTGAGGCTTCAACATCTTTAATGCTCCTTGGAGAAAAAAGGAAGGGAAGGAAGAGGGAAGAAATGAAGAAGGGAGGTAAGAAGGCTGGAAGGCAGGAAAGCAGGCAGGCAGGGAGGGAAGAAGGGAGGGAGGAAAGGAGGGAAATGAAAAGAGAGAAGAGAAGAGAGGAGGAGAGAGAAGGGAGGGAAGAAGGAAGGAAGGAAGGAAGGAAGGAAGGAAGGAAGGAAGGAAGGAAGGAAGGAAGGAAGGAAGGAAGGAAGGAAGGAAGGAAGGAAGGAAGGAAGGAAGGAAGGAAGGAGGGAAGGAAGGAAGATACTACAAAGTGACTTCAAAATTCTTGCTAGCTCTAAGATTCCATGACTTCAGCACAAGACAGAATGTGTCAAACTGAATCCCTGTGTATTCACAAGACCTGCGTTCAGTGATTAGACAGGAATAAACCAAACACCAGATATTAAAACCCTTCCACAGACAGAGTGTGATTCATCACGTATGTATCACTTTCTTCTTCTTCTAGCAGTAGTTTCTCTATGGGCAGAGTATTGATTGCCCTCCTTGTATCTTCCAGGTCCTGAGGGACTGGCTCTGGGATGGAGATGGGGAGTGGTACAAACTGTGGCCCAGGCAGTGTAGGGGCTGGGGGCTGGTACTGCAGGGTAGAAGTGGGCAGAGCTGAAATGGGCTGAGGCCATGAGAAGTAAGTCAGAGGTGCTTGGTGCTCTGTTCCCTCCAGCTGAGGCCCACCTGCTGGCATGGCATTCCTGGTCTGTGGGAAGAATTAGAAAGCATAGGACAGAGGTCAGTTACATTGTGGGAGAAATCTTTACCTGTCTGGCTCATTTTCTGAGTGTGTTTTTTCTTCATGCCAGACCTTTCCTGATCTCTTACCCCTGGGGTTCCATGTAGATCCCTATAGTATCCTCAGGAATCTGCCAAGTGCAAAATTATAATCTTTGGTCATCCTCTCTTCTGCTCCTCGTGTATATACCTACATGAAAAGGCACATGCATGCACACCCTTCCACACACACATTGCCCACAACTATCAGAGCCCCCTACACATAAGCTCATTTTCTAGCCCATACCTTCAATCAAAACTCACCTGTTCCATATCCCACTCCTCGATGTCCCTGATATCTGCTAGGTGACAGGTAATTTCATACTCGTTGTACATAGCATTAAAGACTGCTCATGAATGATACATTGTACCCTTTCTAGTCATGTGTGCAAGATAACCCAGACCTTCTGAAGTTACAATGCCTTAACCCCAAGGAGTGATTCTAATAAGAATTACAGGCACTGTGGCAAGCTGATGAGACCCTATTTTGGCATCTTGTGATAACTTTCAAATCCCATCACCTAGATATCTACCTATTTTGCCTATATACAGGGCTGATGTGGTCCCATCACCACAGAAGCCAGGTGTCCTGAGCTAATAGAAAATACAGATATATTGCCCTCTTGCCTATATCAGCCTCTCAAAGCAAATATGCTGGGTCTAACACATGAGCTATTTCTGGGTGTATTGAAATTAATAAAAATAATAATAACAGCATTTATCTGATGCCTGCTATCTGCCAGGTACTGTGCTAAGCACTTTACAAATATATTGTTTGATCATCACAGTGATCCTAAGAGGTAGGTGCTATTATTATCCTCATTTTATAATTGAGGAAAATGAGGCAAACAGAGGTTAAGTGACTTGCCCAGAGTCATACAGCTTATAAGTGTCTGAGGCCAGGTCTGAACTCAGATTCTTCCTAACTCCAGGGTTAGTGCTCTAGTCACCTAGCTGTCTCAGGGACCTCAAAATTTGACTCTATTTGCCTCTGTACCCTGAGCTCTGATAGGGCTAAATAAGATTGGGAGAAGTCTGTGATGTAGTAGAAAGAGTAATATATCTGAAGTCAGACCTGAATTCAAATCTTATCTTTGACACTTAATGGCTATGTAACTATGGATGTCATAACTTCCTTGAACTCATAAAATGGAGTCAATAACACTTATACTACTACCTACTATACAGATCTGCTATGAAAAGAATTTGTAAAGTGATTTATAATATGAGTCATTCTTGTTGGTGCAGTGGATACAGCACTGGGCCTGGAGTCAGGAAGACCTTAGTTCAAATCTAGCCTCAGACATTTACTAGCTGTTGAACCATGGGCAAGTCACTTAACCTCTGTTTACCTTGGTTTCCTAATCTGTAAAAGGAGAATCACAATAGTACCTACCTCCCAGGGTTTTTGTGAGGATCAAATGAGATAATATCTCTAAAGTGTTTGGCAAACCTTAAAACACTATACAACTTCGTTTTTTTTTTTGCTGTTATTGTTGTCACTAAAGGCAACCAAGTGTTTAACCCATCATTCCTCCCTTCCCCTCAGCTCCCCCAGATGAAGATGTCATGCTGAGAAAGAATGAAAATGTCTTTGGGCTCTGAAAAGAGAGATGCAAGGTATCCAAAGTTCTGTCCAAAGACTAAAGGTGAAAGAGACTACAAGTTGGATTATTCTGGAGTTAGTTTTAAGATCTGAGGACTTTAGTGGATCACAAGGTTGCTATGAGTCAACAGTGTGATATGGCACCTGAAAAAGCTATTGCCACATTAGGCTGCTTTAAGAGAAGCGTCATGCCTAAGACTAGAGAGACAATAGTTCCCCCGCACTTTTTGCCCTGATCAGACCACACCTGGAACACTAGATCCATTTCTTGAAGCCACACTTTAGATAGTGGTAAGGGGGAAAATGCCCACTGTGGAGTAGTCAAGATGGTGAAGGGCCTTAAGAGCTTGCCATTAAAGGAACTAGGGATGTTGAACCTGTAGCAAATAAGGCTTTGGGAGGATGGAATGGCTGTCTTCGAGTATCTGAAGGCTGGTCCAGTGAAAGAGAGATTAAAGTTTGTTCTGTCAGAGAAGCAATGGGTAGAAGTTGTTTAAGAAGCAAATTTGGATTTCAATGTAAAGAAAAGCTTCCTAATATTTGGAATTATTACAAAGTGGAATCATAGGCTCGCAGCATCATAAGATCATGTATTTGGAGCTGAGAGGGACCTTTGAAGTCATTGAGTCCAACCCTCCCAACTGGCAGAAAGTTGCCTTTCACTAGAAATTTTCAACCAAAGGTTACACAACCACTAGTCATGTACGTTATGAGAGGGATCCTGGTTCAGATACAGGTTAGACTAAAATCATGGGTCCTTAGACTGGGGTCTGTGAACTTGTTTTGTTAATATTTTGGTTTTGATTCAATACAGCCTCTTTTGTAATTCTATGTATTTTGTTTTGTGCATTAGAAAATGTAATTCCAAGAAGGGGGCATGGATGTCACCAGAATGCCAAAAGGTCCATGACATTAAAAAAAAAAAGTTAAGAGTACCCAGCCTATGTGGACTCTGAGCCCCCTTCCAATTTGGAGATTCTGTGATTCATACTGGGGAAAGAGGTGATGGTCCACAGAGGGTAGGGCATATGGCTCAGTGACCCACTTGTCCTGTGTACAGGGCTAATAAAAATGGTTTCATATGTTTCATTTCATCTTTCCATGACCATCGCCTAGATCTCATGCTACTAAATAAGTCAGGAGCAATGTTGGTTCACGCTGTTCTCTGCAACTGAAATGGCTTAAAGACCACCTCTCCCCCACAAACACACACATGACCCATCTCGCCTTGTTCAAATCTACCCACCTTTCAAGGCTCAACTCAAATTCCATTTCATTCAAAGACTTTTCCCCCTGCCCCACCCCACAGACAGGAGTGATTTCTAAACTCCTCTAACCTCTTAATACTTCATACATCTCATATATTTATTTATTTTTGTTTGGTTTTTTGTTTGTTTGTTTTTTGTTTTTGCTAGGCAATGGGGTTAAGTGACTTGCCCAGGGTCACACAGTTAGTAAGTGTTATGTGTCTTGGGTCAGATTTGAACTCAGGTCCTCCTGAATCCAGGGCCAGTGCTCTATCCACTGCTCCACCTAGCTGCCCCCATCTCATATATTTAATAAACCATTTTTCATTATTTTTATTTGTATGTATTTCTGCATCAAAGAACAGTGAATACAATATTGGGCTTGGAGTCAGTAAGATCTGGATTCACATACTTAGTAATCTAGGTTCTAATTCTTATTAGCTGTGTGGCCCTAGGTTAAGTCATTTAACATCTATATGCTTTAGACTTCAGATTTCTCTGAGAAATCAAAGCAACATCACCATTGCTTCTGGAAAGACTCAGTGGACCTATGACTGAATTTACAATCCCCGTGACCCAGCCACCCCAGACAAAAACTCTTCCCTAACCCTTATTTCCCTATATTTATTGTCTCCCCATTAGTATGTGATTCAATAGATAGAGCGCTGGGCCTGGAGTCAAGAAGACCAGAGTTCCAATCCAGCCTCAGACACTTACTAACTGGGTGACTTGAGCAAGTCACTTAACTTCTGTTTACCTCAATTTCCTCATCTATAAAATGGGAATAATAATAGCACCTACCTCCCAGGGTTGCTGTAAGGATTAAATGAGACAATAATTGTAAGGCATTTAGCACAGTTCCTGGCACATAGTAGGCCCTATATAAATGTTAGCTATCATTATTAATATGTACAAATACAAATACATGACACAGTCCCTGTAATGGAGACTGAGGATTTCTCAATGGCAGGGACTTTCTCACTGTAGCAGTGATTGACACATTGTAAGTATTTAATAAGCTGTTTCACTCCTTCATTCACTACCTAAACTTATTTACTAAGCTTACTTTGAAGAAATCCCAGTGCCTTCAAATTTTCCCTTATTTGCATACATATACATGTGTATCTATTTACTGGGTTCAGCAAAGGACTGTATTATTCCAAAGACTAGACCTAGGTATTGAGAGGTTCATTACCAGAAGGAAGGATAAAAAAAAAAGCAACTATTGAAGCACCTACTATGTGTCAACCACTGTTAAATGCTTAATTTATATTTTACAGTTGAGGAAAATGAGGCAAATACAAGTTAAATAACTTGGCCAGGGCCACATAACTACTAAGCATCTGAGACTCAAGTCTTCCTAACTCCAGGCCAAGTGCTCAGTCCACTGAGACTGCCTCAGCAGGTAGTCGACTAGGTGATGATGTGTCTTTTTTTTTTTTTAATACATTAGCAATTCACAAAGACTATCTACCAAGACAGAGAGAACAAAGCAATTGAGGTTTTTACTTAAGAAGGGAATAAAAAAAGCACACCAGTGACATCTTGGATTTGTCTGAAGCATTAAAACATCTTCCCAGGATTATAACCTCCTTGAGGGCATATCTTACATATCTTTACATCTCCACCAGAATGTAGTCTACAGTATCTTGCAGTTGGTGGGGGACTAATAAATGTTGTTGCCTGAATTAATAAATGAATGGATGAATGAATGATACCTAACACTTAACCAACACTTTAAGGTTTGCAACAGATTTTACATATGCTATTTTATTTGATCCTTACCACAATCCTGTGAGGAAGAGGATATTATCACCATTTTACAGATGAGGATATTGAAGCAGCAATTATGTGACTCATTCAAGGTCACAAAGCTAGGCAGGATTTGAAATCCAGTCCAATATTTTACCATATATCTATGCCACCTTGCTGCCTCAAATGAAAGAATAAATAATAACAGTTAGAATTTATATAGAGTTTTAAGGTTTGCAAAACATTTGATAAATATTATCTTATTGGATCCTCACAACAACCCTAGGAGGTAGGGCTTATCATCATCCCCATTTTACAGATGAGGAAACTGAGGGAGACAGAAATTAAGTGACTTGCCCAGGATCAGACGACTAATAAATGTCTGAGGACAGATTTGAACTCAAGTCTTCCTGACTTCAGGTCCAGTGGTCTATCTACTGCCCACCTAGTTGGCTCTGAATGAAAAAATGAATTTCCTAGTCACTGCTACCAAATCATTTAGAGTTAAGCACAAAAGCAGGGGAAGTTGCTCAATCCTGCATCTCCTTGAAGTGTCTAGTGTCAATAGATTGGGAGAAAAAGGACTGAAGCTGGCATTTCACCCCAAACAGAGTGACAATTAGTATCAACACCGAGTTAAAATGTTATATTATCAAGACAGACATGCACTCCTGAATTAAATTTACGGAGGGAGCCAAGGAGATTTGGGCTAAAGAGGCAGAAGAGAACTTATTGTCACTTGGCATTGTCAGGAATTCCCAAGGAAGACAACTGACAATCCTTTAGTTGGGGGACAATAGCATACCGTGAAGTTGGTGATGAGTGGCTGGGAGGCATATGTCAGCACTGATGAGGGTCCAACCACCGTGTAGCTGGGACACACGGGCTGCACAAACATATCAGTAGAGTAAGGGCCGCTGACACCTTCATGCGGCATGTACTCAGGATAAGGTGTCCACGGTGTCAGGGGCTGAAGGGTAGCAGGAGCAGGCTGGGAGAGCCAGCCTGTGCACAGGGCCCCTTCTTCGGTCACTGTGGATGCAGGGACCTCCATGTCCAGGCAAGATGGCCCTGAAGGGAAAGAATTATTGAATGTTAGAGCTTATTTCACAGATGAGTAAACTGAGGACTAGAGGGATGAAGTGATTTGCCCAAGGTAACATAGTTGATAACATCACCAAAGACAAAAAAAATCCGGGTCTCTGTACTCCAAGTACACTTTCACTCAAGGGCAAAAAGTAGGTGAGGCATCAGGGATGAGTCAGGCACAGTCTTAGGGCAGGAGGCCTCACAAGCTATCTAGCCTGACCCCTTTGTTTTAGAGATGAGAGAACCCACAAGACTTGCCCAAGGTCACAGAGATGAAATTTGAACCTAGATCCTCAGATTCTAGAGCCAGAATTCATTCCATCATACCATATCCTCTTACTGAGAGGCCAGAACCAGACAGAAGCATCAAAAAGGACTTACCCATTGTGGCATAGGAGGTTGCAAGGGGTTGATGGGGCAACACCACCTAGAAAGAAGAGATGACCAGGTTGAAGATTCCTTCAGAGTCTGAGTGGCTCCCAATCTTAACTTCTCAAAGGCCATGGGGCATCTCTGATGGCTTTCTCCTCCATTTAATTAAATTCAAACCCACTCAGTGTAGGATATTGCAATCGACCAACAAGGATAAAAAGACAGAAATAAAGTGGTCCTTGTCTTCATGGGGAAAATGTAATAAAGCCCTCAGTGAGTATGCCAATAATAAACATAAGCTCGCTAAATTGAGACTCCCTGACCCACACTGAATGATGAGCATCTTGGCACAAGTTCACGTATCCTTATGGAGACATCCCAAAGGTAACTTCCCACCCTGCAGAGGAATGCCCCCAGAGTTGGTCCCAGCTCATCTAATCCTGTTCCTTGCAACAACTGTTCTCCTCACCGTGGTTGCGGCCACTGTGAGCCCGCTGCTGGCAAGGCCACGCTTCCTCCTCAGCAGTTCTTTCACTGGCTCCTTCACACGGACACCTTGGTATGGCCGGGGCGGCGGTGGTGCCTGCTCAGGAGCAGATGCTGCAAAGTACAATTTCATTCTGTGCTTATTGCCCACTCCCTTACAATGTCTTGTCCCAGGTAAAGTTCCATATTACTTATAGTTTCTTCTCACCTCAAGTCTTCAAAGGTCTGGGTCCAAGAGGAGGAGTCAGAGGACTCTTCCTAAACTACCACGTTCATCATGTTACTCCTATGACCCTAAAACTTAGATATCTGCTTATTGACACCAGGATAAAGTTCAGACTCCTTCATTTCACCTTCAAAGGCCTTAGCAATCTAGCCTTGATCTCTTTTCCTAATCTTATTTCTTTCCATTTAAGTCAAGCTCTTCCAACTGTCTCCTGGAACATGGACAATGTGGTCTCTCCTCTTTGCCTTTAGCAATCTCATTTCTCCTTCCCAAGATGTTCTTCCTGCTCTTTTAACACTTATCCAAACTCTAGTTTTTCTTGGAGGTAAGACATTTTCCATCCTTTGGAATCCTGCAGTACTTACTGCTTTCATTTGGAGCTTATCGTAAATTGCTTCAGATCATTAGTTATTTTGGATATTCTTGTTTCTTGTCATCATCATTATAGCTAGCATTTATAAAGCACACCAAGATTTACAAAGTGCTTTACATATGCTAACTAATGTGATCCTCATAGCAACTCTGAGATGAGTACTATTATCATTCCCATTTTATAAATGAGAAAACTGAGGCAGACATAAGTTAATTGCCCAGGATCATCTGAAGCGAGATTTGAATTCAAGTCTTCTTGACTCCATATTCGGGCTTTTGTGATAGTATAAGAGAGTGGTGATGAAGGTCTGAATTACAGTGGAAGCTATGTGAATGAAAAGGGAATAAATATGAGAACAGTTGAAGATACAGAATCCACAAGACTTTAACTGACTGGATATGGGGATGAAGGAAGATGACTATGAGACTGTGAACTTGAGTAACTAGAAGGATGGAGCTGGCCTCAGCAGAAAGAGGGAAGGTTGGAGAACAGATGGGTTTGAGGAGGAAGAAAGATGAAAATTCCATTTGGGACATATTGCTTTCTATTGCTTTCTAATCAATAGAGGGAGACTAGTGAGTGGAGCTACCCTCCAATGTTTGCATTCCCATGGAATTCGTGTCAATAGGTGTGACATGACCCCAATACACCACAACTTCTCTACCTCCCTCAATACTCCAGTTTGAAATACCCAACAATCAACTGGAACTAGAGCTCAGGAGAGTGACTATGGCTAGCTATATAAATCTGGAAGTCATTAAGCCTCTAGTTACTAGAATCTAGTTGGTGATGATCACCAAGAGAAAGGGTACAGAGCAGGGGTGCTTAGCCTTTTTTTTTGTCATGGACTCCATTGTCAGTTTCATGAAGCCTATGGACACCTTTTCATAATAATGCTTTTAAATGCACAAAAAGGAAACCAATTGTATTGAAATACAATTATCTATAGACACAGATATTTTAAAGTATACATAGCCTAAGCTAAGAGCCCCTTATGTAGGAAAGAAAAAAAAGAGTACAAGATAAAACCTTGGTGGATAATTATGGTAAAGGGGTAGGATATGGAAGATAAACCAGCAAAGGAGAAAGTCAAACAAATAGGAGGAGAACCAGGAGAAAACAATGCTGGAGAAACACAGGGAAAAGAAAGGAGGTAATCAATAGTGTCAAATTCTGAGGTGTCCAGGAAAAGGAAGAATGAAAGTATTTCATTAGATTTTGCAACGTAAGACAGTTGTTTCTAGAAGCTTGGCTATGAAAAAGGGAGGACCGATGTAGGATTGAGTGGATGGCAGAGGCTTGGGTCTGTTTGTAGGTAGCAGGAAGAAGCCAGTAGAGATAGAAAGATTGGAGACTAGAGAGCAAGTTTAAAGCAGCAAGCTCCTAGAGGAGATGAGATAGGATGGGATCCAGGCACAGTGGAGGAGGATTTCCCTTCACAAGGAGAAGGGTAATCTCTTTGTCAGAGAATGGAGCAAAGGAGAACAGAATGGGAGATGATGTTGAATAGGTCTAATATGTCAAAGAGAAGAGACAACTCATGATGGTTGGCCTATATTTTTGGACAAAGTAGGAGATGAGGCCCTTTGATGCAAGAGAGATGAAAGGGACAATATAAGAGGCTCAAGAAGAAAAGAATTAGAATAGCTATTGGCTGGGGGAGGGGTAATAGAAAATGAAGTCAATTAGAAAAGGAGCAGTGGTGGCCCAGTTGACATTAGATAACATGTACTTTAGTGGATCCAGTCTGCATGTGTGTCACTCCCTCAAGAGCTATCTAAAGTAGGAGTAGAGAAGATGAATGAATGGCCCCAATAAACCAGGGTTTGGGTTTGGCAAGGCCTGAGTGGTCATTGGACAAGATGTATTGAGGTAGAGAAGCTAGTTACTTCTTCAATCATTAGATGAATGGAGCTGGTAGTGATGTCCCTGAGCACGAACCCTGTACCTAGAACACTTTCTAGCCCATTCCATCCCATAACAAAGCCTGGTGACTTCAAGAGGTAGCTGTTGCCAAATAATAGTAATACTCTCCCAGGGTTGGGGAGCCTGTGGCCTCAAGGCCATGTGCGGCCCTCGAGGTCCTCAAGTGTGGCCCTTTGATCGAACCCAAACTTCACAAAACAAACTCCATTTTAAAAAGATCTTGAGGTCACAGGTTTCCCACCCTTGTATCAGTTTCCTACCTGTCTTGCCCATGTGAGCTAACTGACAATAATATGAAGGTCTGTTCTATGGACTTCACAGGGAGCAGGCCCATAGTCTGGTTCAGCCCACCATGTATCAGCCCAGAGTTTTTCCAGGAAGGTCCTGCTATCACTTATAGATATGAGTGACCCAGGCTTTGCATCAAAGGCCAGGAAGTGTGGCTATCTATTAAACCTGCCAGATCCTTCAGTTTAGGCCCATGGCTGGACTTTGTTCTGCAAATATCTAACTGATAAAATTCCACTCTTGGCTCTTTGAGCACTGCCAGTGCAAGGAGTGAGGTAGGATTACCAATATGCCATTCACCTGAAAGTGGGAGGAAAGTACCCCACAACCTGAGCTCACTGAAGCAGCTGTTCCCCCTCAGCCTTAGAGCTGGTGCTGAGGCCCGTGATATTGGACAGACCCCTGAAGAATACCTCTAGCCATCTGTCCAGTTGACCTACCTCCTGGAATCAAGGTACTTTTGCACATACCACCCTCACCTTCTCCTCAATTCCAACCAGTTTTACTTACCCTACACTGGCAACCAGAAGGAAGGGGATAAGAACACTCCTCTCTGAAGTCTCTTCTCCTAGAGCAAGAAGTGTTTTACCAAGGAGCTCTGGAAGCAGGGTCTGAGGGTTAGATCTAGTCCCACAATCTATCCACTTAGGTTCTAAGCATAATGGAAATTAAGAATTTGCTTTATGGGGGATGAAGGGATTGGATAAAGCTTTAACCAAAGCAAAAGCTTGTTTTTTCCTCTTTAATTACAACTCAGAGCAGAGTGCAATGTGGTTTCAATCATATATGTGTGTGTATATATATATACACACATACATACATACATATATACATATAGACACATATAGTTCAAGCATAATGAGATTTCCCCCCCAAAAAAAAAACAGATTCATAGCTATTTTTCCCCTAATTTGCATAGCTAGTTCTGAGGAATATCATGGAAAACTCATCAGATTGCCCTTCTGGCCACATGACATGAAACACAAGCTCTACCTTAAACCACATCTAGAACGTCACCAAGCATTGCTTTCTATTGCTTTCCAATAAATATAGGGAGGCTAGTGAGTGGAGCTACCCTCCAATGTTTGCATTCCCATGGAATTCGTGTCAATAGGTGTAACATGACCCCAACACGCCACAACTTCTCTAACTTCCTCAATACTCCAGGTGATAGAAAGTCCAAGGCTGGGTCCAGCTAATGGGGGTGATTCCCAGCTGCTACATTCAGATATGCTCCAAGTAACTGTTTGAGGAGCTGCTTCTAACCTGCTGCCACAGTCTACCTCAGAGCCTATGAGGAGATGATGTGGTATACTGGAGATCAAGTCAAGTCAAGCTAACATACATTTATCATGCACCTACTATGTGTCAGGCATTGTGCTAAGCACCGGGGATAGAGAGAAAGGTAAAAGCCAGTTCCTTGCTCTCAAGGTGTTCACAGTCTAATGGGAGAGACAACACATAAAAAACTATGTACCGACAAGATATATGCAAGATAAATTGGTGATAATTAACAGAGGGAAGGCTCTGGTAGTAAGAGGGATCAGGAAAGGTTTCTTGCAGAAGGTGAGATTTTTTTTTTGCTTCTTTTTTATCATTTTTATTTTGGACATACTAAAACTTAAATACATAATAAGAAAAGAAAAAGAAACATATTACAAACTTAAATATTAAACTTAAACATAAAATAAGAAAAGAACATAGGAGAGGATTCAGAATATATAGCAATAACTTTCCATTTCAAGAAGTCTATGTATTAAATACTGCACATTATGTTGAAAGTTGTCCATCTTTGCTTCCTTGTAGTTTTTTTGGGTTCTCTGGTATATACTTTGTACTCTGTTCTTTCCCCCACCTTCCTCCCCACTCGCCCCTCCAGGCTACAGTTAAGCATGGATATATTCATTAAAAAAAGGTGAGATTTTAGCTGAAGCTTAAAGGAAACCAGGAAAGCCAGGAGGCAGAGATGAGGGAGGAAAGTGTTCTGGGTATGGGAGATAGCAGTACAATTGCCCAGAGTTGGGAGATGGAGCATCAGTTTGAGGAACAACAAGGAGGCTAGTGTCGCTTGGCCAGGGTATTAGGGGAGCATTGTGAGGAGTTAGAAGACTGGAAAGGTAGGAAGGGGCCAGATTATGGAGGGCTTTAAAAGCCAAACATAAGATTTTGTATTTTATTCTGGAGGCAATAAGGAAACTCTAAAAAGGACCTACATGTACAAAAATATTTCTAGCAGCTCTTTTTGTGGTGGCAAAGAATTGGAAATTGAGAGGATGCCCATCAATTGGGGAAATGGCTGAA